CGCAACATGCTGTTATTTTAAATCGGAACTGAGCATGCCTGGCTGTGGAATTCTGGGAGTTGAAGTCCACAAGTCTAAAAAGTGCCTCACCAGCCCTAAAACTGACCGCACGTCACTGAGTATGAGTTATTAGGCTACTATCCTACAGTCCCTTATTTAGAAGTGAATCTGAGTTGAGCAAGACTGATTTTTGAATAGTCACTTACAGTGTAGAATTGCCCTGTTCAGCTTTAAGTACAATCTCTTAAACAATGTCAGAAACATAAGAGTATATCTATGTGGTTGCTATGAGTTGAAAACAATTTGATGACACATAATCAATCAATCAATCAGTCTTAGACATGTTCAGGGAATAAAGAAAACCACCGAAGTTAAAGAAATCTTGCTGTCAAGTAAGCATATATTTCAAATAGCTGATACATAAAATAAATGGTAAAATGATTACAAGCTCTTTTCAGCTTCTCTTTTTTTTTTTTAGTTTGTCATTTTTGGGATTTCCATATGATATGTAACAGAAGCAAATTAGTAATTGCACTTTAAGGGTTGTGTTATATAGTTCATTTCATTTCTTAATTTTAAATCATAGGCTTTTCTGCAACAAACTTTTTTTTAAATCAACATGGAAGCTATAGTAAACTTTTGTAATACAAAACCTAAGAAATTGTAACTGTTCCCCCAGTTGAGTTCTCTATGCAGGTATCATTAAGAAAAACAATTAATGAATAAATATTTGAAATCAAATATAGGTGTATTTTAATAACACCTATCAAAATGGCAATTATAGGAGCCGGTAGAATTCACTAATATCTCCCATTATCCGTCTTCCAATGCCACTATATTTTTTTCTAAAAAATTAAGGGTCTCCCAAGGAACTGCAACAGGACTTAAGTTTAATACAGCTTTATTTTAATAAACGCTCCCCGAATACAAAATGTTCTTACTGGATATTGATGACGATATTTATATAAGTCTCTTGCAGCATAAAAACTTCTCTTTGGTTTAGCTGTCACATCAACTGAATCATCCCCCTGAAAGAACAAAAAAATTTCAGTGAGAAGCAGCAGAATGAGCATAACCATTTAATTTAAATCTTCCTACCGGGTAACAGAGGTGGGTTCCTACCAGTTCGCACCTATTCGGTAGAACCGGTTCATCAAATCTACCGAACCGGTTAGAAGAGATTTCACCAGTGGACCCGGAAAGCAGGCCACACCTTCAGAAGAGGTTCCAAAAATTTTTGAAACCCACCACTGCCACAGAGAGAGAGAGAGAGAGAGAGAGAGAGAGAGAGAGAGAG